TGAGGGGGTAGAGTCCAGACGCAGTCACCTAATGTGCATGCGCAGCACCCAGTTCCTAGGAGGCGGCTGCACCCCGTTTGTGAAGGAGTTTGGGGGTTGGGCACAGGCCTCAGGTTCCCAGACAAACTCCAGGGGGAGAAAGCCCCAAGCGTCCCCTATGCCTGTCCCTAACTCCAGGGGCATCCGGGGCTTCAGCCCTTTCCAGCTGTGCAAAGCTGGCTGGGCTCCCCGCCCCCCAGATAAGCACCCAGCAGCAAAGCCCCTCTGCGCAGCACTTGGCTGAAGGGAGCCAAGCTGGGGGTGCTGCAGTGTCTGCCAACAGGGGCAGGGGGTACCCAGGCTGATGTAAATCATTCTTACCCCCTTGCCCCTATGGGGCCACATCCCCAGCGGGTGTAAATCAGTCCTAGAGTTACTCCAGCTTGCTGGTGAAGGTGGTTCTGGGGGCTCCTCTAGGGCAGAACAGAGACGGGGAGCTGGGGGTGAGGGTGTGACTAGGTCCCCCTTTCCTCCTCCCCTTGGGCAGCTCCTCCTACATTTGTCCTTTGCCCAGATGCAAACTGCTACACAAGGTGCAAAGCATGTTCCAGCCTATTCAGCACCCCACTGTCCCCTCACTCCCCTGCTCCAAGCAGTGGGGCCTTCCCCACATCACTGGCACAGACTAACAGCACCAGGGTCACGGCAGGATGCTAGTGGGTGGCAGGAGGGTTCAGTGGTTAGTGAATAGGTGAGGCTGACAGGTTATGGGAAATCACTAGGGCAGGGGTCTCCAACCTTTTTAAGCACAAGATCCCTTTTTGAATTTAAGTGGAATCCAGGATCTACCTCAGACCCAAACACCCTGGCCCCGCCTCCTTCGTGCCCCTTCTCCAAGGCCCCGCCCCTGCTCACTCCGTCCTCCCTCCCCCATTCTCCGTCCCTTTCACCAGCCAGGGTTCGGACACAGGCTCTGGTCTTGGGCCAAGGGATCTGGAGCGCGAGAGGGGCTCTGAGCTAAGCCTGGGCAGGGAGTTGGGGTGCAGGAGGGGGTTCATGACTGGGGCAGGGGTTCGGCGCTGGATCCAGGTGGACACTGCTTACCTCAGGTGGCTCCTGGGTGGTGGTGCAGTGGGGCTAAGGCAGGCCTGGCCCTGCACCCCTCTCAAAAGCAGCCAGCAAACTCCCACCATCCCAAGCCCTGTTGTGCCCCTCTCCCCCCCCGCTCCCTTCTGTGGAGATAGAATATATGGTGGGAGAGGGGGCACCCTGACATCAGTGTCCCCTCCTCTTCCTTCCCTGGCCTGCACCACAAGCAGGAGGCTCCCGGGGAAGGACAGCTCCAAGGCAAAGGGCAGGAGGTTTGCATCGGTGGGGGGAGAGGCAGCTGCTCTACTGGTTGGTGACCTCTGCACTAGGGGCTGGAGCAGCCCCCTGCTGCAGGCACAGACCTACTCCAGCCCTGCGGGACTCACCTTGGGCCCAGGGTGCTCCAGTCTGGCTGGAGCAGGCCCCATCTGCAGCTGAGGGGCAGCTCCAGACCAGTCAGGGTGGAGCGCCTCCCGGACTGAGCCCCCCCCCCATTTAATCAGTTAAGTGGTTAAAGTTAACATTTAACCAGTTAACCAATTAAATGGGATTTTACATCCTTAGTTCCTGTTCAGTTGCTGAACTGCACTAACTCCACCTTTGGCTCACGGCCTCCAGAAAGGCCAGGGGACAGGAAACCAACCCCCTGCTTTCTGGGGGAGAAGATGCTGCATTGATCATGCCTTACATCTCACAGTGCTCTGGGGTGGAGGCCTGACCATACCTGATACACAGTACCAGTGGCCCCAATGGCCAGCAAGCTGGCAGTGCATGCTGTCCCAGAGCACCCTCTTGTGGCCAGACTGGGCACCACCGACGCCCTACCTTCACTACCCTGCACCCAGGACACAAACAAGTCCAAGCTGGGTTGCAGGTATCTGGGGTATCCCCTTCGTAACCAGGAAAAGGCCAACAAACAAAAGCACTAGCAGGGAGACAGCCAACCCTCCTTCAGTTGTCCTACAGGAGTCATGGCCCTTTCTCCAGGCGCTTCACTCAGCTCCGCTCCCTTTCCTGGACTCCAGTCTCTTGCCACCAGCTGGGCGGAATCCTGCTCTACCACCAGCTGCCTGTGGAGACCCAACTGCAGCTGATGTCCCGGACAGACCATAGCTCCCACCATCTGGGTGTCCGGCCACCGTTCACAAGTGCCCCTCGCTGGGAACAGGCCGCCCTGGAGGAATCACCTCTCCATAGGTGTGCCCCTTCCGGGCTCCATTCCCCAGCGCACTCACCGTGGCCACGGCCACGTTCTGGGCATTACCGCCACACTGCAGCTGGCAAAAGGGGCGTTTCCCTCAGTGTTGGTATCCACCATCCTGAGCAGCAAAGAAAATTCATCCACCAGCCTCGCTAGAGCTGTCCCAGTGGCTCTGAGCACCACCGCTCTGCCCACCTAACCTTTAGCATGGAGCAGGCCTGGGGGAGCCGGGTGGCTAGAAACACCCTCTGCCCGGAGCTTGCCGGAAACTGCAGGCTACTTGGGGTACGACTAGACTAAATGCCTCTGCCGACAGAGGCTTGTAAAATAGGCTACCCGACATAGCCAATAGAGCGGGGATTTAAATATCCCCGGCTTCATTAAAATAAAAATGGCCGCTGCGCTGTGCCAGCTCAGCTGATCGTCGGCACAGTGCGTGAGTCAAGACGCAGATCGGTCAACAGGGGAAGCCTTTGTCAACCGCTCCTGTAAACCTCGTTTCACGAGGCATAAGGGAGCAGTTGACAAAGGCGTTCCCTGTAGATGGATCCATGACTTGACTGCCACGCTGTGCTGACGATCAGCTGAGCCGGCACAGCGCGGCGGCCATTTTTATTTTAATGAAGCCGGGGATATTTAAATCCCCGCTTCATGGACTATGTCGGGTAGCCTATTTTACATGCCTCTGTCACATGTAATCTAGACATACCCTTGGAGTCTGCTGCTAGCTCTGGGAGAGGAGAGGGGCTTAGTGGTTAGAGCAGGGGCAGGGCCTGGATTCCTGGGTTCTACCCTGAGCTCTGGGAGGGGAGAGGAACCTAGTGGTTAAAGGGGGACTCCTGGGTTCTCTGTGAGTGACTTGCTCTTTGTGTCTTCTGTTTCTCACAGAAAGGAGGAAGTAGGGATTGTAGGCGCTCTGTTGCAAGTGATTTCAACTGTCCTGTAGTAACCCCGAGTGTGTGCCTCAGTTCCCCCGGGCACTGCATTGCTATCTAGAGGGAGTGGGGGATTCGGGTGTGACTCACTGGGGAAGGATGCACAACCCATCACACACACAATGGCCAGGCTCACTGTAACCAGGTGACACCTTTTGCCCGGGAAGCTGGACAAAGGGGGAGGTGGGGCTAGAGTCAGAGGTATGCTGCTAGATGAGTGAGGGAGTCTGGCTGGTTTGGGGGCAGAGATGGAGGCCGGGGCTCTGGGCCCCTGTCTTCCCAAGATGGATGGTGCTGACGGCTTCCGGGTCCTGCGCTGCCAAGTCTGCCCGGTACCCCTGTGAACTAATAAAGCTCCTGTTCTATCTGCCAGCTGAGAGCCGCGGATGGGGGTGCAGGGCCCAGTGGTGGCACTGAACCCCATGGACAGAGCATCCAGTGACTGAGGTGCAGCACAAAGAAGGGGGACAAGCAAGAGCCAGGCATGCTGACAGCCAGTGAGGAGCAGTTCCAGGAAGCAGAGGGGCCTGCGGCTTAGCCTGATTGTGATCCTCGAAAAGGGTGTCACCCCGAAGAGGGGTTTCCCCTGAGAACTGTGGGAAGTGGTCCCTGGAGGCGGAGGGGCAACTGTGACCCTCAAGGAACCTGGCACTCAGAAGGGTTCTTCCTGGGAGTCGTGGGGCGCTGCAAGCCCTGGCCTGAGAGTCTGCACCCTGGGGAGCAGCGGGGAGATGGCCTATAACCGTCTCCCTAAGAAGGACATTGTTGAGCTTTGCCAGGAGAGAGGGCTGCGTGTTGGGGGGTTCACCAAAGCCCATCTAATTGCCCTGCTGGAAGAAAATGATCGTTCCAGGGAGCAGGACCCTGTCCCAGCTGGGAGCTGCCAGACAGCCCCTGGGAGCGTTTCAGGGGCTGAGGAAGGAGAGGGGGCTGACCGCCAGATGGACAAAGCTCCCACTAGGAGGTGCTCGGCCAGCAGCAGTTCATCCTGGCTGGGGTCCTCCTCAGCGGATTTGCGAACCCTGGAGCTGGAGCTGCGGCTAAAGGAATTGGAGGCCCAGGAGAGACAGCGGCAGCATGAGCAGGCCATGGCGGAGCTGAGAGGCAGAGAGACCCCGGCTGCAGTGAGAGGGGAGGAGCCCAGGGGGGCCTGGACTGTAGGGAACGGTGAAATGAACAAGGAAGAGGGGGACGTAGATGCCTTCCTGAGTGCCTTTGAGCGAACCTGCGATTTGCACCAGTTCGACCCAATGGATTGGTTCCGGCTTCTCACCCTCTTCTTTCAGGATCCCGAGGCCATGGAGCTGCTCAGCCAAATGGATGGTGGGCTTCAGGGGGGAGACTACGAACTGTTCAAACAAGCCCTAGAGCACAAATTCGTGCTGACCCCTGAGGAGTACAGGAAGAAATTCCGGAGAGCGCAGAAGGGCCCTGAGGAAACCTACGTGACTCTAGTCTCCCGGATGGAGCGATACGTCTGCAAATGGGTAGTCGGGGCTGGGAGCCAGATCACAGAGGATCTGGTTAAGCTGATGGTCCTGGAGCAGCTCTATGAAATCTGCCCCCCTGACCTGAGACTGTGGCTGATGGACAAGAACCCGGAGGACCTGCCCAGCGCAGGCCGGCTGGCTGATGCGTTTACAGACAGCCGGCCCGGGAGTGAGCCCCGGAGAGATCGACTCGCAGCCGTGCAAAAGGGGGAGGTGCCCACTGGGGTCCCCCAGAAGAGAGGAATCAGCAACCTCCTCCCTAGGGGGGCAACCGCTACCTGGGCGGCCCAGCCGGCCCGAGGGAACCGACGGGACCTGACCTGCCATCGCTGTGGGGAAAGGGGCCACAAGAAGGCTCAGTGCCCCAAACTCCAGGACAGACGGAGCAAACCCAGAGGTCCCAGGGTTAACTGGGCAGGCCTGCCCCTGCGGAGTGAGTGCCTCGTTCCCCTGGAGGTGGATGGGAGGAAGGTCACAGGGTACTGGGACACAGGCGCAGAGGTGACGCTGGTCCTGCCTGAGGTAGTGGCGCCAGACCACATGGTACCCAACACCCACCTGAAACTGAAGGGCATCAATGGGTCCTCGTTCGAGGTACCTGTGGCCAGAGTGCATCTGAAATGGGGGGCTAAGGAGGGCCCCAAGGAGGTGGGGGTGCACCCGCACTTGCCTTCTGGGGTGCTGATGGGGGGTGACTTAGAGGACTGGCCGGAAGGACCCCCCAGTGCCCTGATTGTTACCCTTAGCCAGAGCTGGCAGGAGGCACTCTGCCCTGGCCCTGGGGAGGGTACCTGGCAGGGGATGCGGGGGCCTACCAGTGACACAGGCAGGGAGAGGGGACAGGTCCCCATCCCTTCCCCGGCTGCTGAATTCCAGGCCGAGTTGCAGAAAGACCTCTCCTTGCAGGAGTGGAGGCACCAGGCTGGTCTGGGTGCGGCTCAGCGCCTGGGGGAAGGCTGCCAGGAGAGGTTCCTGTGGGAGAAGGGATTCCTGTACCGCGAATGGGTCCCTCCAGGGGAAGTGGTGTTATGGGGGGTTCAGCGGCAGCTGGTGGTTCCCCAAAAGTATCGCCACAGGCTGCTGTACCTGGCCCACGACGTCCCGCTCTGGGGACACCTGGGGACCCAGCGCACCAGGCAGAGGCTGCTCCAGAACTTTTATTGGCCTGGGGTCTTTGGTGCTGTCCAGCGGTACTGCCGGTCCTGCGACTCCTGCCAGAGGGGGGGGAAGGCCGCCTTGAGGCCAGTGCCCATCAGAGAGGAGCCTTTCCAGAAGGTGGTGATGGATATAGTGGGACCCTTCAGCAAGGTGACCCAGTCGGGGAAGAAATACGTCCTGGTGGTGGTAGATTTGGCTACTCGGTCCCCTGAGGCTGTGGCGTTGTCTTCTCTTGAGGCAGACGCTGTGGCTGACGCGCTGCTGACCATTTTCAGGAGGGTGGGGTTCCCCCAGGAGATGCGTACAGATCAGAGATCCAACTTCATATCCGCCCTGCTCCAGTGCTTGTGGGAGAGGTGTGGGGTCCGGCACACCTGGGCCTCCGCCTATCACCCAGAGTGCAGTGGGCTGGTGGAGAGGTTCAATGGGACGCTAAAGCAGATGCTAAAGACCTTTATGCACCAGCACCCACAGGACTGGGACAAGTATTTACCCCACCTGCTGTTTGCATACAAAGAGGTGCCCCAGGAGTCCATAGGATTCTCCCCATTTGAGCTGTTGTACGGGAGACGGGCGAGGGGACCCCTGGACTTGATAAGAGATGAATGGGAGGGAAAGGCCTCCCCTGATGGAGATGCGGTGGTGGAGTATGTGCTGACTTTCCGAGAAAGGCTCCGTGAATTCCTGGGCCTGGCCAGAGAGGACCTAGGCAGGGCCCAAGGGAAGCAAAAGATCTGGTATGACCGCACCGCCCGGGCCCGTGCCTACGCCACAGGGGACCAGGTCATGGCTCTCATCCCCGTGCGGAGGAACAAGCTGCAAGCAGCCTGGGACGGCCCCTTCAAGGTCGCCAAGCAGCTAAATGAGGTAAACTATGTGGTGGAGCTGCCCAACCGGGCGCCCAGCCACCGGGTGTACCACGTCAATATGATCAAACCGCACCGGGGCAGGGAGAATTCGGGGCTGGCCGTGTGTAGGCACTTGGAGGGGCTGTGAAACGATCCCTAGGTGGATCTTCTCCCTGGGACCAGGGCTGACTGACTCCTTGCTGGAATCTATCCCCCTCTCTGACCAGCAAACACTGGGGTGGGTAAAAGGGCCTCCATGGGCCAGATCCGGCCTGCAGAGGTCCTGCCGCTCCCCCGCCCCCAAGCCCTGATTAACGTGGGGGTGGGAGCAGGGCCGGATTAAGGCATGGGCTAGCCGGGCAGCTGCCCGGGGCGCCAACCTATAGGGGGTGCCTGATGGTAGCTGTAAGTGGCGTGCAGTGCCCCTTATAGCTGCCATCAGGCACCACACATCCAGCTCCCAGAAGCTACCTTGCAGCGGCCACGTTAACCCCCGCAGCACTGGCCAGCACCGCCATTCCCCCCACAGCCG